CTTCTAAATATAACAGAGGAACAGTCAGTAGAAGATTGAAAGAAGAAAACACAGCAATGAAGCTTGGACGTGTCTCTCCTTGTGTCCTTCGCAGTGCATCTTCTATCTTCGATTATGAAAAAAGTCATTGAGGAGGAGGATAACAAACGGAACAGTCGAGTGCTATCTTTCTTAGGAGGGTATATAATATAGGATATAGGATAGGGATCGTTGCACGTGTGTTCGCGCTAACAGACGTGGAGTGAGAGTTAGGAGCTCGTACAGCAAAAAACTTCCCACCAATCCGCTAGCAAGAGGTCTCTTCTTTCGCTCGCTTTGCCATCCCGACTACCCACGCCCGAACAGCGGCAGGAGTACACAGTCTATGCACCCCGGGGAGATCAGCCACCCAACAAACAACAGCACAGATCACCACCACACCACGAGGGGTGCAGACGTCCACTAGTCGGAATACTCATAACGAACACACGTCGCGAGGGGCCTACAAGATACCAGACAATCCAGTGACTTTGTGACGTATAGAGAGGCAGTAGTATGCTGGATTACTGATGGGTGACTCGTGTGACATGATCGATTCTCAGAAAACGTGGGGACAAGAGAGTCTTCTCTGAGGAGTCAGTGCGGGAGGTGGGAAAGAGCAGGAGACGAGTGGGACGAAGAGAGGGAGTGAGGAGAGCTGGAGGAAATAACTTAATTGATAACACAGTCGATCATGTCTTAAGGTGTCCATTATAGGTTTCCTCATCAATTGCCACATCAAGGCGGCTGCGAGTAGGCAACGCGTGTCTTGTCTACATGTAATAAAAAGATGGAGCATGGTGCCTTTTTCATATTATATAAGACTTACCAGGGTATTTGGGTCACACTCCACCCTGCATTACTCTCAATATCCCGGCCCTCGGACCGTTTGAACCATTGTTACAGGGCTTGCGAGTGAAACTGCTCCAGTGCTGTCAGGCTTCACCGTGACACTGATGACGTGTGTTATATTGTGTCTCTCGCAGGTCAGTGACATCGTTCATATTGGTCGACGCAGATGAGGGCCACCTATAGGGTGATATACCATTGGTATACATTCATGCAATGCCAGTAGCACATATGAACATGTGTCCTCAGATGTTCGCGCGAACTGAGCAGACTCGGAAGAGTTAATAAAGGAGAGGCGTTGCGGTCTGGACTGTCTGTAGCTTCGGAAAAAATCGTAGCTTCTTCGTAGCCGTTCTCCTCGTTCGACAAATAAGCTAGCTAGCTGTGTACGACAGTCGTCATGGAATTCTATCGCATACCACCCTTACCTTCCGCATTACATACGAAGCTATATGTTAACGTTCGTTTCTTCCATCCTAGTGCTGACGAGGCTAGGCACCACACTACGAGCATTGAACAGGGATTATGAGTATAATAAACAAAGTGACTTTCACTCTTTCTTACCTGGAGCTCGGGACTATTGAGTCTCTGCTTTGTGCTCTTTTCAGGTTGTAACTTTCTTTTGCTTCTTTTCTTCAGATATGACTTATTATGGGAATAGAGCTAATCGCGCGCAAGAGTCGATGTATCATCCCATGAACACATGATACCCCACATATCTGTTGCATGTTCTCAACTGTCAGGTTGCCAGATGTACTCTTTCACACTTACTCAGCAATACTCTGCTGTCACTGCCCGCACCAGCCAAAGGCATTATTGTAACTATTATGCACCTATGAGGAAACTTGTTTGCGACAGCTTTGGTTGTAGTGTAGTGCATCGGACCCCCTTATAATTGGCAAGTTGCCCAAAGGTAGTCGTTGTATGATTTTGGGCTCCAATGGACCTTGTAAACCACCTCCCCTTCCATGTGGCCAACCAGACAGTAATCAACTCGTGGCTTCGCACCGGGAGTAGACTTCAGGGGTGTCATGGGTATATATGATTTCACGGGTGCAAAAAAGGCTCGTGGATACTTTACATAAGTAATATATCTTCAAAAGCTAGCTAGCTCAGTGCATCTAGGCTTTTGGCGCTGGGCCACACATGCATACGCCAAATGCGCAATCTGTAGGCATTGCTTACCGTTGGTTGTCATCGATATATGGAGAGACGCCAAAGTACTACGCATGTGCTAAACCAGACAAAGCCCGCGCACAAGTGAGCTAGCTTTGAAAGTAAGGAGTTGTGGGGAAGCGGGCACTGGGAGAGCCACGGGGTGGGATGAGGGAGTTGTGGGGGAGCGGGCACTAGGAAAGCGACGGGGGGAGGATGGAGTTGTGGAGGAGTGCTTCACACTCCTCTCGGTTGAGAAGCGCGGCAGGATCCATGCTGCTCCTGCGTTGCGCTGGGTCTGGGTTCGGTAGTTAAGATTGACGCCGCAAGGGGGTAGGTGTAAGGTAATTATGTTTGCTTGTGGTACTCCCCTCGGGAGTATCTATGGAATCTAATATCTATGGAAGGCATTTGGGGGGCAGCAGTGGCTCCCGACATCCGGGATGGGGTCTATTTCCCACAGTTTTTCAGACTCCCTGGACTGGTCTTTGCTCTCAGTATGTGTATTCTTGGCTTCTACATGAGCATGGATGGTTGCTAACTATAAGTGCCGCACGCGCACACACACACACACACACACACACACACACACAAACACACAAACACACAAAAGCAATATTATGCAAATCATTACTTTAGGTCATGCCACACTGCCCCCACATGCAATGACGTGAGATACACGTATTACGCGCTTTCAGTAATATCGTAGTCCCCAGTTGTACACACCATCTATTAGGACACCATCTATCACATGTTTTTTTCTGGTGCTTTTGAAGAGCTCGTAACGCGGATATTAGCTGGTAGTTCTCTCCCTGTACCTCAACGTCCTTTTTTACTTCCGCCACCAGCAAAACTCTTCCATCCAGCAGTCCCTCTACTACGAGGTCAGGCACCCTCCATCTTCGTCGTGCGGAGGTGTCGAAATAGAGGTCGCAGAAGGGGTGGGACAGGGACGGACGGCTCCTTGGTGGACTTTGATGCATTATAGAAAAATGACGTGTATGTTGTGCAGAGTTCCCCCCAAACATATTCAGAGGCCCCCTCAGTGATGTATTTGCGGAGGATGACGGAGGAGGGGATTGGTGAAAAAGAAACGATAGGAACGCGCACGTGAAAAGAAGTACTGCAAATACGTTAATTAAACCTGCTATGACCACAACCCACTTCTCCTTTTCTTTAACGTATTTGCAGTACTTCTTTTAACCATTTAACTTGAGGTTTTGTAAACCCCTGTAAACAAACATGTGTGACATTATTCACACGTACTCCAAATGCACAAATCCACATACTCCAATAATGCTCACTGAACTTTAAACAATTAAAAAACCATATTTATTGTGACACGAGTGGTGAGTAAAAAACAGTAGTAACTTCGTAAGGGCCGTTTTACGTAGATATTTGCGGCGATGCCTGTATCCTCCAGAAGAACCTCCACCTCACATTTCAAAATCATTAGTTTTTCAATGAAAGGATCACAATTTGGAAAGTGAGACAACTGATTTACATACTTGTATGAGCAATGATCTGCGCAGAAAAGAAGTTACATTATATAACTTGTAAATCGCAGACAGGTGTTGTACACTATCCTATCTTTTACAGAATCTTATCTTTTCATCGTTATGGAAAGTGGATGGAAAGAAGCAGAGAGCAAATGCACTATGCACTGTTCTAGAGGAGAACACAGATGAAGGAAGACCTTTGCTCTCCCATTAGTCCACCCATGGAGTTGACATGCCTAAGCACTCGTGGCGAGTTCTTTGTCCTGCATCATTGCCATTAACACGTACACGTTGAACGCGTTCATTGCGTACACCCGCAACGTTGTCTACGAAGAATGATTTTTAAATCACACACACCTTTTTACATGAATTACGTGCCCACTATAGTGGCCCTCCGCGTAGCGTGGAGTAAGATTAACGGCCGTTTTACTGGCCTTCCGCGCCCAACGTGTTAATAGACAATCCATGACAACCGTTACCATTGTACGTGAAAACTGGGCATTAATGGTCAGCACATTTTTTGCACTACACAATGACCTTCTTAAATGTGGCAGGTTTTAGGTCAACTCATAAGACCACAGGTCAACTCATAAGGCCACAGGCCCACCAAAGCCCAGAGAAGGTTCTCTCTCTCTCTCGAGTTTGTGTGGGTTAGTCATGTGGAGTATCAAAATCAGTTCTACATCCAGTGACCGCAATATGCGTAAAACACGTAAAACAAATGGGTGACGGTAGGGGCAAAAGCCCTGGCCATCATACAAGCGGCGTATTTTTGTCTTCCTGGAGGCGTTCTGTGGCGTAGGCAGAATCAGACATGTAACAATAAAATGAATGAATGGATGTGAACTCTTCGGTGGAGTTGATTCTACATAATCTGTTTCCCTTCACTGACCTGTGAATGAGAGCGGAAGTCCTCATCCTCATCCTCGTCCTCAGCGGCAGGTGGCTAGTGGAGAGACACCTCAGTGGTTGACTGGTGCTACTTTGCTGTAACAGTTTACAACTTACCCGCACCTGCTTCTGCTGTGTCGTAGCCTTCTGGCTCTGCCTCGGCCCCGGCCCGCACAGAACGGCCTCTGGAAGTACCCCATCCAGGATTCCTGAGAGCACCTCCCGGAGACTAGCCTGGAGCACCTTCTGCAGGAGCGCGTGATGTGGTTCTCGTGTAGGTTCAATGAGGTTCGCTATGCTTGAACCACCCCGAACAAGTGCACAACCACGAAGGTTTCACTGTCAGAATGACATCCTGAGGCCTAGGCCTCCTGGTAATCTATCTATCTGTGGCCACTGCACTGGCATGGTGCTGTGAGCACGTTGCCAATGTTTTAAATACCCCGTACCAGCTTATCTTGGTTCGATACTAACTACAGTATATGTTAGCTTATCTTCTCTGACAAAAGCGTTCTCATATGCGTCCGCTTCAGCAAGTATCATTCCCTCATCGACTGATACGCAATACGCGTAAAACACGCGCGAAATATTACTTTTATGGGGGTCAATTCCCTTTTCTCAAGCAGAAGCCACGAGAGGTAGAATTGCAGAAAGCGATATTTGCAGGTGTAGGCTCAAACATGCATGGTTTCTCTGATGACATGTGGCCCTCAGTCAGCCGATGGCTAAAGGAACGGAGAAACTGAAGATACGGCTGGGGTGTCGGTTTGTCACTCTTTCGGCAAATTAGAATACTTTTTGCAAGAAGCACTTTATCTGCCTAGTAAGTTGAGTCTACAAGAGGTTGGTTAATGTCCTTTCTCTTCTCCGGTCTCTTCTGCCTGGCTTGGATCGTCGACGACAACGGAACAGACTGTTCGGAGAAAAAATTTGGGCCTCGTCTAGTTTGATCCCGGCCCACTGACCTCCCACAGGACAAGACAACTTGTGGTTCTTGCCGTCTAAACGTCTGGAAACCATACTGTACCTCCTGTACCTCTTGCTGTTCGGAAGCATTTGGAAATTTACACGTGTGTTCAGTGTTGGAGCAAAATAATTCTTCTTTATAAAATCTTCGAAATCCCCATACTTCGACATCTTAGATGGCCACATGTCTCTCTGCTTGTGTTAAAAAAGTGCAACTTAACTTTTTTATAACTTCTGTAAACTTACCTTCCGGCTCAGTTTCGGCACTTGTCCTGTATGTTCTTTGGTGTTCTTTCCATTTGGTACGTCTCGAGGTTTGGGGCTTGCCAAAGGACAATGGATGGGGTGGCAGGTACTCAATGGAGATTGATTATTTATGATTTCCTCCTCCCTTGCCATGTGGAACACTGCTCAGTACGTATCTGCAGCTCCCTTTCTGGGTGCTGTTCAGAAGCTTGGACGGGTCTGGCTCTGAGACTGGAGTCTCTCCTTTGTGTCCTTTCGACCCGCATGCGCCCAAAAAAATGTACCGTAACTTTTTCTTAACTTTTAAACCGGGATGACCACCGAGAAGACGCTGCGTGACAACCACCCACTTACCTTCCGCATTACATACGAAGCGATATTTATTAGCGTATAAAGGAACGGAGAAACTGAGGATCAGGCTGGGGTGTGCCGGTTTGTCTCTCTTTCGGCAAGTTAGAATACTTTTTGCAAGAAGCGCTTTATCTGCCTAGTAAGTTCAGTCTACAAGAGGTTGGTCGATGTCGTTGTCTGTCTTTAGGTTGACAGTATGTGCTTGATACACTCACAGGACAACTTTGTACATTTACTGTGTGACATCCAGTATTTGCGCAACACAGAACACACACTGTCGTTTCCTCTTTCCTGCTCCTGCGAACAGTGGCATGTCCAGGCAATTGATGCATGAACCGCAGTTGTGTCTACTGCACCCACTGCATCCACGACAGCCCCTGCCTCGTCTGACTGCCATTGTAAACTTTGGGAGTGGTGGACAGATAAGGGGTCCGGACCACCAACTGATACACACTGCACCCACTGCATCCACGACAGCCCCTGCCTCGTCTGACTGCCATTGTATATAGGACTGTTACCTCTTTCCTGCTCCTGCGAACAGTGGCATGTCCAGGCAATTGATGCATGTACCGCAGTTCTGTCTACTGCACCCACTGCATCCACGACAGCCCCTGCCTCGTCTGACTGCCATTGTAAACTTTGGGAGTGGTGGACAGATAAGGGGTCCGGACCACCAACTGATACACACTTATGCTTTGGCCAGTAGCTAGCTATACGCACCTATATGCAGACTGAACCTTTAACCTGTCAGATGTGAAAATCACCGTCTTGTGTTTTCTGGAAGTGCTTTATGTAGCCAATCCCGCTTTGGAAGCTCACGTCATGGATCTGTTTCCTGTTTTTTGACACTGCGTCATAGCTATTTACAAAACACGACAAAGGAATGGTCGTATCTGTAGCTAAAATCATACATTAACACTTTACACGCACTCGTTCATTGCCTGCACCCGCAAGTCCTGTGCTGTGGCGATGGGGAACTGCATGTCTGCGGCTGTATTCTCTCCGTTTAAATATGGCCACTGTGTTGGCACCTCAGATTGAAAGTTTTCCTCTCGTTCTCCTGGAGGCCTCTTACTCGGGTGCGGCCTGGCCTCTCCCTGGTCTTGTCCCCAGAGGTCCTGTGCTGTGGCGATGGGGAACTGTGTGTTGCCACCTCAGATTGAAAGTGTTCCTCTCGTTCTCCTGGAGGCCTCTTACTCGCCCTCTGAAGGTGCGGCCTCTCCCTGGTCTTGTCCCCAGAGGTGCTGTGCTGTGCTGTATGTTGCCACCTCAGATTGAAAGTGTTCCTCTCGTTCTCCTGGAGGCCTCTTACTCGCCCTCTGGGCAGGCGTGAGGGAGAACGGTTCGAAGGATGTAATATCTATGGAAGGCATTTGGGGGGCAGCAGTGGCTCCCGACATCCGGGATGGGGTCTATTTCCCACAGTTTTTCAGACTCCCTGGACTGGTCTTCCTCTCAGTACATGGATTCTTGGCTTCTACATGAGCATGGATGGTTGCTAACTATAAGTGCCGCACGCGCACACACACACACACACACACACACACACACACAAACACACACACACACAAAAGCAATATTATGCAAATCATTACTTTAGGTCATGCCACACTGCCCCCACGTGCAATGACGTGAGATACACGTATTACGCGCTTTCAGTAATATCGTAGTCCCCAGTTGTACACACCAACTATCGGATGTTTTTTCTGTTGCTTTTGAAGAGCTCGTAACGCGGATATTAGCTGGTAGTTCTCTCCCTGTACCGCAACGTCCTTCTTTACTTCCGCCACCAGCAAAACTCTTCCATCCAGCAGTCCCTCTACTACGAGGTCAGGCACACCAGAGATAGGTGGATCTTTGTTAGTCTTGGGGCAATCGCTGCCAGGTGCAGTGGTTGTGCTCGCTTTAACCAGCCACTCATTGTCTGCATGCACAGGTGTGTACTCACACATAGCCAGTAGCAATATATTACTTACACGTGAAGAAATTTCAAAATTATCTATAGTTACAATCAGTTTGAGAAAAGAAATGCAGTGAATCATGTCGGAGTTCTCTCCCTGTACCTCAACATCCTTTTTTACTTCCGCCACCAGCAAAACTCTTCCATCCAGCAGTCCCTCTACTACGAGGTCAGGCACCCTCCATCTTCGTCGTGCGGAGGTGTCGAAATAGAGGTCGCAGAAGGGGTGGGACAGGGACGGACGGCTCCTTGGTGGACTTTGATGCATCATAGAAAAATGACGTGTATGTTGTGCAGAGTTCCCCCCAAACATATTCAGAGGCCCCCTCAGTGATGTATTTGCGGAGGATGACGGAGGAGGGGATTGGTGAAAAAGAAATGATAGGAACGCGCACGTGAAAAGAAGTACTGCAAATACGTTAAGTAAACCTGCTATGACCACAACCCACTTCTCCTTTTCTTTAACGTATTTGCAGTACTTCTTTTAACCATTTAACTTGAGGTTTTGTAAACCCCCTGTAAACAAACATGTGTGACATTATTCACACGTACTCCAAATGCACAAAATCCACATACTCCAAATAATGCTCACTGAACTTTAAACAATTAAAAAACCATATTTATTGTGACACGAGTGGTGAGTAAAAAACAGTAGTAACTTCGTAAGAGCCGTTTTACGTAGATATTTGTGGCAATGTCTGTATCCTTCAAAAGAACCTCCACCTCACATTTCAAAATCATTAGTTTTTCAATGAAAGGGTCACAATTTGGAAAGTGAGACAACTGATTTACATACTTGTATGAGCAATGATCTGCGTAGAAAAGAAGTTACATTATACGACTTGTAAATCGCAGAAAGGTGTTGTACACTACCCTCCCTATCTTTTACACGTTGGATGTCCACAAAAGCCCACCAAAGCCAACCTATGCTTCATCGTTATGGAAAGTGGATGGAAAGAAGCAGAGAGCAAAGGTATCATAAGACTAATGAATTGGTCAGACGGGTCTTGGTGGTAGTGTTGCAGCCACGCCTGATATTCCGGGTCTGACACCATCATACCCTTCTTCATAGCGCTTTAGACTAAAAACTTTCTTAAAATCCCCGCCGTTCCGCATCGGCTTCAGCGAGGATCATTCCCTCATCGGCCGAGTCATTCTACGTCTCTTCATAAAAGAGAAGTTGCCCTATTTGGGAATTGCGTATTTCATCAGTGGTGTCATTAACACTCACGGGCGAAGGAGCACGTGCTTTTTCCACATTGTTTTTTGATAATGAACAGATTGTGAGCATGCTGACACTAGGATTTTATTATTTACTT